CCCTAGGGTACTTTTTTCTAAAAAAGTAACTTTATTAATATCTAAGTTATATAATATATCTCTAAGGTACTTTTTTTAGAAAAGTAACTTAAGTAATATTTAACTTATTAAAATACTTAAAAAAGAAAATAAGTAATTAATTAATTAATATTTAACTAAGTATATAATAACTAATAACTTTATAACTAATAACTTAATAATAAACTATTTTAAAACTAATAACTTAATAACTAATAACTTAACTACTTTATAAATAACTACTAAATAACTAAAATATATAGATACTTAAAGTAAGTTTATATATTATATCTTACTCCTCTATAGTATCTATAGTATCTATAATATCTATATTACTATTATCTAAACTATAAAGATCTTCTAATTCATTTAAATTACAAACTTTCCAGTTTTTTAATAATATAATAGCTTTAACAATAGAAGGACTTAATCTATTTCTATTTTTAGTAATAATATTACTAGAAATAGAAAATATTCTTTCTATAGCAGCTGAAGTAGCTGGAATAGCTAGATATCTTCTAGCTATTAAAGATAAAATAGGAAATTTAGAAGTATTATTTTTCCAGTAAAGTAAAGTATTAACCTATTATTATTAGTAACTATTAATATAAATATAAAAATATATATAAGAATAATATATAGAAGTATTTATATTATATATATATATATATAAAATAATATATATATATAATATAGGTTTAATATAAATATATACTTACTAATTTAGGTAAAGGAGGTTCTCTTAGATATATTAAGTATTCTAACTCTATATTAGACTCTAGAGCATATAAGTCATCTTCAGAGTTAGAATCCTCAGCAGAATAAATATTAGAAGTTTCTTCTACTATATTAAAATCTTCTGTTTCTATTTTAACCCTATAAAATAGTATTAATATATATATAACTAAATAAATAAGTAAACTATATTACTTACATATTATATTCTTCTTCTAAAAGAGTAATAATATCTTCTTCTATAGTAGGATAAAAGTTTAATATATTATTAGACTTAAAGTAATAATGTTTAAATCTAGGATCTAATATAAGACCTAATATATAAGCTTTATACTCTTGTAAGTCTACTATAGATAGCTTTCTAGGAAAGTATTTTTTTAACTTTTCTAGACCTTTATTTATAGCAGTTATATAAATATTATAATAAGTATCCTTTAAATTATAATAAGTTAGTAAATACTTAAATATAATATATATATAGGTCTTAGGTTATAATAGTAAAAGTAAAGTATGGACTAACTAAAGTACTAAGTCTTGCTATTTCGAAGTTATACCCATTTATTCAATCTTCTGATATATCAAAAACTATATACATATATCACCACCCTCTAATAAGGTTAATATATAAGCGGGACGGTAGTCTC